CGCGGCTGCGGCCGCAGCTGGCGGGACCGAGGTGCGCCCTCGCTCGGTGGAGCTGGGCCTGGAGGAGCGGCGGAGCAAGGGCCGCGCGGCGGACGAGCTGGAGGCCGGTGCCGGTGCCGTCGAGGGCGACGAAGGGTCAGGGGATGGCAGCAGCTCGGCCGGCTCAGGCGCGGGGCCCGGCTCAGTGCTGTCGCTGGGCGCCTGCTGCCTGGCGCTGCTGCAGATATTCCGCTCCAAGAAGTTCCCGTCGGACAAACTGGAGCGGCTGTACCAGCGCTACTTCTTCCGTCTGAACCAGAGCAGCCTCACTATGCTTATGGCCGTGCTGGTGCTCGTGTGCCTCGTCATGTTGGCCTTCCACGCGGCACGGCCCCCGCTCCAGCTGCCCTACCTGGCAGTGCTGGCGGCCGCGGTGGGTGTCATCCTTGTCATGGCTGTGCTCTGTAACCGCGCCGCCTTCCACCAGGACCACATGGGCCTGGCCTGCTACGCGCTCATCGCTGTGGTGCTGGCTGTCCAGGTGGTGGGCCTGCTGCTGCCCCAGCCGCGCAGCGCCTCGGAGGGCATCTGGTGGACCGTGTTCTTCATCTACACCATCTACACGTTGCTGCCTGTGCGCATGCGGGCCGCGGTACTCAGTGGGGTGCTGCTGTCTGCCCTCCACCTGGCCATCGCCCTGCGCACCAACGCCCAGGACCAGTTCCTGCTCAAGCAGGTAGGAGCCCACCTGGTCGCAGGGACTAGCTCGTGGGGTGGGCAGGCCTTGGCCTGACGCCAAAGAGAAGTAACTCATCACCTTTAAAGTGGTGAAAAGAGCCAGAGAGACACGACTGTGCCAGCTGTGGGGTGTCTTCAGAGCCTTTTAACCTTTTCTGAGCCCCAGCGTGTTCATTTACAAAAAAGATGTCCTTGTATTATTTGTAATGTTCCTGGCCCCTAGAAGACATGTAGCCATCATTGTGAGGATGCAAGTGAGGAAGGAGAGTTGGAGGAGAAAATTCTATGGAAAGGTCCCCATTCCTTTCCTTGTCCCTGTGTAGAAAAGGCTCCTCATAAAGGTGGCTTGGACCCTGCAGCAGCCTCTCCATCCTGGTTTGTTAAGGATTCCTGGATAGAGGGTTGAGGAGGGGAGCCCCTGGGAGCCCCTTGCCCAGTCTTAAGGAGGAGAAATGATAACCCTGCCAGTTGTCTGAGGCTGGGGATTTGGGAGCTGGAGATATACCTGAACTTGTAGGAGGACTGACAAGTTTGCTTTGTTTACAAAAGTGCCCTAAAGCCAAAAAAGCTGCCTTTAGCAAAGGTAGGAAGGAACCTCTGTGTGTGGCGGTGTTCTGGCCTGAGCGGAAAGCTAGTGCTGGGTGGCATGACCCCTTCCCTTGGGTGTTCCTTGTTATTGCTTGTGGCGGGGCGGTGCTTTTTATCCCTGCTGAGACTGGTTCCATGAGCTCAGAATGGTGGGCTCTGGAGGAAGTAAAACCTCTGCCTGGTTAACTGGTGACTCCACTGAAGGCTTGTGGGAGAGAGGTGTGCTTGCTCTCCTGACCGGTGGTGAGACTGGCCCCTCTGACATGCACGCCTCCTAGTAGCAGTTGCCTTGTCTGGAGCTCCAGGGGCTTCATCCGTTGACCCCTGCTGAGCCTAGTTGTTTTAGTGCAGCTTGGCTGTGAGAGTCAGGGGGCCCTTGATGCAGGCTAGTCTCTTGACCGTGGACCCTGCTCTGCACCCCATACCTCTCTCTGGGTGTCTGTGTCCTCTGAGAGAACCTCTAACCATACTCCGTTGGCACTGCCTTCCTTCTTCTCCCCACTTCTCATGCCTTTTCTCAGACTTTGATCATGTTAAGTACTGCCTCTTCCTTGACGGGTTTTCCTGTGCCCCCAACTTCCTGGGTGTGATACTCTCCCACAGGGAATAGCACAGTATGGGCTTCAGGGAGCTGGGCTCTAGCTCTACCTCCAAAGTACTCTGCGACTGAAAGGAAGGGGATCTGCAACCTCTTTGAGCCCCAAGATATTTTCTCGAAAATGAAAGAAATGTGTATGCCCCTTCCAGTTGCAACCTCTGTGCCAAGCTTCACCCCTCACCTCCTGCTCAGGGGCTCCTCCTTCCATTCCAGGCACCCTGGCCTCTCCCCCTACTGCATGGTTAACGACAGAGTCAGAACCACAGAGTGGAGCACTTCCTTACTTTCCATTGCCCATTGGTTTTGCTCCCCATCCAACGTAAGCTTCTTGGATGCAGGAATCCTGTGTATGTTTTTTCTTTTCTACCCTCTCTCCCTTGTCTAGGACATTTCAGGATACTTAGTAGGGATTTAATAACTGCTTGCCAACTTGGTGGTGTTCCAGTGAGTGGAGTAGGAGGGGTAGTTGAAGCTTAGTTGAAGTTTTTATGATCTGGGATCAGAAGGAAAAAAATCTTCAGAGATCAGCTTTGAACTTGAGAGAGGAACCTACTGAGAGGTAGTGATATATATATGCATACATATACATATACATATATAGGTATGT